AAAAATACGAACCCAGATGGTCTTCATGGACAGGTTGTTTATATATCTTGTTTGTAGAAATATCTGTTCTTCTGATGACTGTTATAGCCAGGACGCCCAGTAGAAATACTCGATCTGTTGGGATTCTGAATTAGCACTTTTGTTGGACACACAACTAATTTTATCTGCTCCAGGAGTGGATAATACACTTGTAAATTGATAAAGCAGATGGTTTGAAAAAGTCTTAAATATTGTATAATGAGATTTGAACATTACACTTGTAGTTTGATTAAGTGGAAGGTTTAGAATAGTCTTAAATATTGTAGAATGAGACTTGACCCAAATTTGTATACTATGTAATCATGTAAAATATTGATTACAGATTTACTCTAATATTGTTACTCCTAGCCCTCTGGGGAAACCACTACTATTTGTGTTTTTGATCAATGGCTATTTTGTACATGTTGCCATCTGTATTTTCATCCCCAATAGTCCAAACTTCCAACAAGCATGGCATACAAATCTGTCTGTTAATTTTGACCCCGATACTTTCTAAAGTTCCTACACTTTTATAGTCAAAATTCTAATAAGCAAAATAGCATTTTAGAAACGAATTTCCTTTTTCTATTGAAGTTCAATTTCTGCCATTCCAGCTGAATATATAAACACATCCAAGCATCGTTTTGTCAGCAAATTCAGTTAAAATACATAGTATTTGCGTTGCATGTACTTAAATTCAGTGTACAACAAACTATAACTACTATAGATGGCACACATTTTCACCACATCTTGGATCATAAAGACGTAGAGGTCGGTGATTTGTGATATTGACTCTGTGTTACTATTTTTAGAAACAGCAGGTCAATATTGCCTTAGGATGTCACTTCAATTGTAACATGGCAACGCTCTGTCGAATGCAGTACTTTTCTCCTTAAAGTTTTCATACGTTGTATTATGTTATTTGATAAAAAACAATTTTGATTTCTTCTATAACAAATGAAAGGACTGTTATTTCAATGAATATGTGGTTATATGGACCTGAAAAAGTTATGTTAACCTCAACTTCATCTCTGTTAATTTCACTTTCTCAGGTCCATATAACCACATAACCACCCTAATTAAAGTCCATAAATATATACTGTTTATAACTTGTATATTACAATTCAGGCGATTGCTAAGGCCCATGAACCTCTTTGTTTATTACTTTAGGCATTTGTCAATTTTAACTCAAAATTGAGGCAACCTTTACTATTTTGTCACAACAAACTTATGTAATATTTCTGATTTCTTTACAGTATGGAGGCGATGTAACCAGGAAAAATAAGCTGTTAAACAAGCAGGCAGCGCATCTGAAAAAACTGAAAATGGTGGGAACAGTCAAAATACCAAAGGACACATTTATCAAAGTGTTAAAGAAAAAGTAACAGCAAAATGACGTTTTAGTAAAAACAAAGAGAAATTGTGAGTCATTGCGAAAACTGTTGAGCAAGAAAATTTTGTTTATGTGCTATAAAATTTCAATATTATTGGAAACTTGAATGGTATATGTAGTTCTTTATAAGCCAATTTATGATGTGTTGGTTATTTATTTATGAACAATCTATTCATAATAAATCAATTATCAAGGAAAATATTTAAAGTTCTATAACTGATGCTCAATGAAAAATTTCTGTTTATTTGTAATAAAGTTGTTTTTTCATTGATAATTGAATCAAACATTTAAAAAATAAGATTTGTTACTGGGCAAGGCCTCAGACTGTCTACTCTCAGTAGTCCGTCAACACTGGGTCGCGGGTTCTACGCCTAGTGGGGACAGTTGCCAGGTACTGGCCACAGGGTGGTGGTCTTTGTTCACCACTACAACTGGCTCATCCTTAAATGACCACAGCTGATAATAGGATGTAAAACAATAGGTCACCCAATTAGTTCAAGTTCTTTATTCACCAAAAGTCTTAAGACTTATAGGTACAAAGCAATCATGATACATTGTACATGTATATATGTTATAGGAGAGTGACTATAAGCATACAAGTGCAAACTAAACAAAGAACATAATACAAAAGCACAAAAATTATAAATACGTGTAGCTAATTAATCAATTTCGCCGCTTAGTGGCTAGATATAAATATTTACCTAGATTTGACAACTCTTTGACATTATTTACAGATAAAAGTTGGACAAGTTTGTAAACAGAGGGACTCTTATAATAATACTTCTTTATATACTTTAACCTCAAATCATTATAAAAAGGACATACAAAAATGAAATGAAATTCGTCCTCGACGTCTCCCAAATCACATTTGCTACAGTTTCTATTTCTGCGAATGATATTATTGTGTCTACCCTTTTCGATATTCAGTTGATGAGACGACGTTCTAAATTTAGTTAACATATATTTGTATTTTGTTTCAATATGTTTACGGAGATAAAACTGAATACTATGACTGTCTATAAGATATTGATATAGTCTACCTTTTGATGAAGCTGCTATCTTTGCCAACATATTTTGCTTAGTAACATCTTTCAATCTGTGTTCAATAATTTCAAAAGTGTTTACCAATGGTAGATTCGATTCAAAAATATAACCAAGACCTAGGGCAGTTAATTCATTCTTAATGTTACAAATCCACGGATCATTCACGTTGACACATTCATCATAACAAGTTTTTAATATCAAATTATCAGATTTCGTCAACTTCAACCAATATTTGAATACTTTTAGCTTTCTTGTAACAATTAATGGTAGTCTACCCAATTCACAATAAACTAAATCATTGAATGTAGATTTACATACTCTAAGGACTTTTTTGCAGAAATTCAAATGAACTCTCTCTATATCAGGAGCTTTGTGAAACCCCCATATTTCTGCACCATAGCTTAAGATGCTGCTGACATAAATATCAAAGACAGAGCATTGGGTTTCCAAATTCAAACAATGGTTCTTTAAAGAGGATGATAATGAAAATAAAGCCTTTCTTCCTTGGTCCGCTAAATGCTTTTGGGTTTTATAAAATTTACCATTATAATTAAAAAACATTCCCAAATATTTGAAACAGTCAACAATTTCTATGTTCTCATTATTATATTTCCACACTTCATTATTTCTTATGTTTCCCCCGTTTCTAAAAACCATGACTTTTGTTTTATCAATGTTGACTTCCAGATCCCATTTTCTAGAGTAACTGTGTAAAGAATCTAACATGTTTTGCAATGCAGCTGGACTATCAGCGAAAAAAACCATATCATCAGCATACATTAGCAGGAAAAGGTTAAGCATCTGTAAATCAATACTTGGACAATTATCATTAATAAAATTAATTTCAAAATCATTCACATACAAAGAAAACAACACAGGTGACAATATTTCCCCTTGTAAGAGACCGGTATAATTAGGGAAACAATGACTTAATTGACCCTCAAATTTTACACAGGATTTGACATTATCATACAAAGATAATAATATTTTTAAAAATTTTCCACGAATACCTTGGTGTATTAATTTACTCCACAGTTTTCCTCTATTAACAAAATCAAATGCTTTTTTTAAATCTATAAAGCAACAGTAAAGTCTCTCTTTTTTACGCAATTTCTTGTTAATTAATGTTTGTAAAACAAATATGGCGTCAATGGTTGAACTGCCTTTTCTAAAACCAAACTGAGCATCTGTTATTATACAATTTTCTTTTTCCCATGTCATAATTCTATTATTCAAGATTGATGTAAATAATTTACCAAAACAGCTTACAAGTGATATACCACGATAATTATTAGTGTCGTTAATACAGCCTTTCTTAAAAACAGGAACAATACATGCTTGTGACCAAGATTCAGGGAAAAACCCAGATCTAAAAATAGCATTAAACAACCGTTCCAAATATGGCACCAGAATATGCTTTCCTTGAATAAAAATTTCGTTTATGATTAAGTCTTCACTACAACTTTTGTTTGATTTCAGGTTTTCAATGGCTTTAACAATTTCTTTTGTTGTGATATTAGAATCAAGATCTTCATAAACTGACTCTATATTAACATTAGGAACATGTTGGTCAGCGCCATCATTCTCCTTTTGCGCCAGATATTTAAAGTGTCTATAGAAGTCATCTATTGTGAGTGTATTCATAGCTCTGTTCGACTTCCGATTATTAAAGATACTATAAAATTTTCTTGGATCATTTCTTTTCAAAAGGACCAGCATGTCGCCTTCATATCGTTTATAATCTCTTTTAAGTTTAAACACCAACCTTTTGTAATTACGTTTGGCGGTTATTAATATATTGTAATTTTGATTTGATTTATCCCGGTTAAAATTAATCAACGAATTTCTGTATTCAGTATATAGATCTTTGCACCGAGGAGTTATCCACGGTTTATCTTCAATAACAACAGTTTTAGTGCGGTGATCGCGGGAGTTTCTCAGAGGGGTATCTCTACACTCACAAAAAGGTAATGTACAATCATTTAATATTCTACTTATATTATTCACACATTCATCAACTGCATCTTGGTTATTTAAATCAACATTCAATTGTTCATCAATTAACTCACAGTTCTCACTTAATTTATCTAAAATTAGCATAGTATTCTCGCCTTTCCATTTCACAGACGTACAGGTTCCTCTACTGTACATGGCATTGTAATCAGCCAACTCATTTACAATTTGAGTATCTAAAAATTTGCCAATACATATATGAAACGCAACTGGACAGTGATCAGAAAACATGTTAAATTTACCAGAATCAAACTTAAGTATATTGTCTATTGTCGCATTTACAACCAACAAGTAATCAATCGTACTTTTACCATTATTATTAAAAAATGTATATGTACCAGTATCGTCATCTGGGTGCCGCCCATTAACTATACGCAGACCTGATGACTTGCACAAGTCAATAAGCTTACGGCCAAAAGTGTTTACCCCCTTATCCATATTCTTACGCTCAGTGCTGACAGTTTCAACATTATAATTAACCACATTTTCTAAATTATGTACTAAACTATCATGTAATGTATCTAATTCTATATAATCATGCCTGCTTCCAGTGCGTGCATTCATATCACCGATAACATATACATCACCCATGCTTTTATATCTACCAACGGAATCTTCTAAAATTTGGAATAAATCTTCATTACAGTGATCATAAAAAACACTTCCCTCAGGAGGGATATAACAAAATGCAATAAATGTGTGTTCTCCGGAGTTACAGGTACCTGTATTATTAATCTTAAGCCAGACAATACTGTCGTAGATATTTTCAACCACTTCAATTTGATCGGCCAGTTCTGGTTTGTAAAAAATTACTATACCACCTCCTCTACATACTGATCTTGGGAATGCAAAATGACTGTAACCCGAAAGCTGTAAAACATCAAATTCTTTTATCCAACATTCCGATACGCATACAATATCATACGATACTAACAAATTCCGGAATTCCGGATCCTCAAGTTTACCTATTAGACCCCTGCAGGTCGTGACTAAGATCACTGTTACTGTAACATGAATACCTGTATTTGATGTCACCGACCCTAAGTTGCTCTATACAATTAGAGTTTCTGATGACTTCCTTCGACTATAGCCCAGCTTAAACCAGATGAGGCACACTCAATAAATAACGAGACATACTCAATAAATAACAAGACATACTCAATAAATAACAAGACATACTAAATAAATAACAAGACATACTAAATAAATAACAAGACATACACAATAAATAACAAGAAGCAATTGCATTATCGGAATGATCACAATTTACTAGACATCAATGTTACCAGAACAATAAAATTATTTTCACATGTACACAAAAATCTTAAGTTATGGACTTAGCAAGTATATATGCACATAAAGATGTGAGAAGATTACAAAACATTTTCACATTCAAGTTTTATCGTGTTTAATGGTACATCACGTTTATTTTTCACTAACTGTAATCCACGAGTAAAAATAGAACAGAGATAAACTGAATTATGTTTGTCTTGTTATCAGCTGGACAAAATATTCTGGACCTTTCATGACTTTTACAAGAAAGTAAATGCACAGAGAAAATTTGTTGGTTGACACCATTTCTAGAGGAACCAAAGACAAAAGAAATGACATCCCTTGGTCGAGAATACTTTTACACTGAACTGATACCAATCAAGCTGGTTGTTAGCAGCTAACAACCATACACAAGTATTTCCATTTTCAAGCAGATCCAAGGAGAACAGACATAGAAGGGATAATGAAGAAACGGTTAGGAATTGTTATTCATCAAATGGGAGATTATGGTTTTAAAAATGATTTTATTTTTGTGTGGTCAATCTAAATGTCTCAAAATGCAGTTGATTGATTTAATTATATAAAACATTTAGTTTTGACTTCCTAACAAGGAAATATTTACACTCATAAAAATGGATTATTCAACATTCAAACATTTCATCACTTTTTTTGACTGGAGTAATAAAGCTATTCCAACCTTAACATGACTAATTGGCAGTGCCTGGCTGATATTACTGTAACTTCTTTGGTAATAAATCCATGTGTGCAAGTAGCTAGTTGTTTGAGAGTGTTAATGTTTTAGCCTGTTTTCAATTATTTCAACTTAGATTTCCCCAAAAGCAAGGACGTATAACTGAGTTTGGTATTCCAACAAAAGAAATGAAAAAGTGGACCTTGTAACTAACTATGTCTTAATTTAACACGTGTACCACATGATTTTCCTTGAGAAACAAACATAATAGTGTAAACCAGAAAATATTCACTGCAGTTTGACATTTGTGCTTTCACTCTCTTTATTCCGTCTTTGCGTATTGCAGAGTTATCTTCTCTTGGGAGCAGGTATTGATTGTTACGTCATTGGTCTGTGTGAGAAAATTACGTCGTTTTCTCAAAAATTGATGACGTTATTCTCACAAACAAGTGACGTAACAATCAGTACCTGCTCCCAAGAGAAGATAACTCTTCAATACGCAAAGACGGAATATGGAACAGAAGTAGCTCCATCTTTTCACAGAAACAAACAACTCTAACATGTTGATTATATCTCATGTACTAGTCTGAGTGTTTAACAGGGAACATTTTACGAAAACTCGCTGTATAGCTCTTCCTTCTCTTGGGGATCAAGTTCAGCACATTACAAGAATTCACAGCCATTAATACTACAGGAAAACACAAAAGATGAGGATTGCCGGTCAGGTGGACTAGAAGTGATGATGTTAACCTTGGGTTGTTGGCGATTTCGTATTTTAAGGTCATGTCCAAATACCATGTACATGTAATCTATACTATCAGCAGACTTTGCTTTCTTTTATGCTAAGAAGTGAGAACCAGAATATGTAAATCCATTCTTTCTTCGTCATCTAACTCTTTTTCTCATTGTCATCAAGCATTTCCTGTAATCTTGGGGAGTAGGACAAATCACTTCTTGGAGACCCTGAGTTGTCGCTCACATCAAAATCTGCACCCATATTTGCCATTTCAGAGTAGTTGACTTGATTTTTTCCACCAGATGACAGTCTCGTTGGATACGGTGCTTTAGCCATATTCCTCTTTTCCAGTAATGAACTTGTGAGCAATTCAAACTTGCGATTGGCATGTTCTGTGGGTGTGAGAGCAGCCCCAACTCTCATGGACGTTTCGAGTGGACTAGTTATTGCAACATTGTCTCTTTCCTGGCTTTTCTCACCAGAAACTTCTCCTGGAAATAAGTCTTGGAATGATACAAATGGAAGTCTGTAGACCAGGGAGTTATCCTGATCCTCTCCTGTATTTGGCGGACTTAACCTGTCTTTTGCAACACCACTTTCGTAAGCTTCCTTCAAACTTTTTCCTTTGAGAATTTTCGAAAGAATTGATCTTTTATTTGTTTCTGATATTGACAATGAATCTGATTTTCTATTGTGTTCGAATTGGGATGAATCAATATCTATATCAATCTCCATCTCTGGCTCACTGATATCAGAATCCTGTGGTTCTTCCTTGATAGATGTAACAGACATTTCTAGGGGAACTTCTGGGCTTTCTGGCTGGAAAAACTGTGTTGGAGTATTACATGTGCTAGAAGTTTGACTATTATCAACCTCACCGCTGTTTTCATCATTTTCCATTGGCCATTTTGATTCCGTAGTGCTCCATATTGTTTCTTCTTTGATCACCATACCTCCTGGTAATGTCTCCCTCATTGTTTGAATACTGTTATTTTCATCACTATCTGCACTAGAATCATCCTTTTTCTTTGAAACCTTCTGGCTGTATAGGCTGTCTTTACTCTGCCTTTTCATTGCAGTATAGTCCTTATATGTATAATTATCATCCTGAGTCAACATAGATGCTCTGTGTGTCTTTCCATGATCCAACTTTCCAATTTGGTATATGCTAGTTTCAGCAACTGGGACCTTATGACTTTCTGCTACTGGTATGGGTTGGATAGGTAAAGCTGTACCAACTGGGATTATCAATCCTGACACCACAAAGCCTGGGTTCTTTGGTTGTGTGAGTTTAACACAACTCTCCACATCTCCCTTCCTTAATACATCCTTATTGATAGTGCTGAGGCACATGTTATCCTCGCCACACAAGTTCTGGCTAAGATGACGATATTTCCTTACTGATGTGCCATTTGTCACTACTTCTGAACCTGATTCACTGGCATTAGCCCCTAACAAGTCTTCAGAATTCTCTTGTGTTTGCAATTCCCTCAAATCATGTTCAGCCTCAGTCATCATCACCCTCTGTTCGGTTGTCTCTTTCCTTTTTCGTTTAGATTTTGGACCAATGGACCAGGTGTTTGATACCTTGCAAATGTTTTGGTCACCATTTGCATCTTGTGGTGGCGTTTCTCTTGAGGCCTCGTTTCCAAAAACCCTAAGAGTTTCGTGAATTTTTACCACATGGTTGTCAGTAGGAGTAAGCGCTACACAAATCAAAGCATCTACTTCAATTGGATTCTGGTACTTTTCCTGACAAAGACTGAGAACGGCTGTCCTTAGTATTGCAGCAATTCTATCTCTTTCCTTCATTCTGTCCACCTCTGTTTTGTTCATCATGGTCAAACCTTTGTCTATGACATCCTTAAAAAAGGGAAAACAGAAAATATCATTATCTTAAGTTATCACACAGTAAACAGAAAATATCAGTATCTTAAGTTATCACACAGTAAACAGAAAATATCATTATCTGAAGTTATCACAAAGTAAACAGATAATATCATTATCTTAAGTTATCACACAGTAAACAGATAATATCATTATCTGAAGTTATCACACAGTAAACGGATAATATCAGTATCTGAAGTTATCACACAGTAAACAGAAAATATCAGTATCTTAAGTTATCACACAGTAAAGAGAAAATATCATTATCTTAAGTTATCACAAAGTAAACAGAAAATATCAGTATCTTAAGTTATCACACAGTAAAGAGAAAATATCATTATCTTAAGTTATCACAAAGTAAACAGAAAATATCAGTATCTTAAGTTAGCACACAGTAAACAGATAATATCAGTAGCTTAAGTTATCTCACAGTAAACAGAAAATATCAGTATCTTAAGTTATCACAAAGTAAACAGAAAATATCAGTATCTTAAGTTATCACATAGTAAACAGATATTATCAGTATCTTAAGTTATCACACAGTAAACGGAAAATATCAGTATCTTAAGTTATCACACAGTAAAGAGAAAATATCATTATCTTAAGTTATCACAAAGTAAACAGATAATATCATTATCTTAAGTTATCCCACAGTAAACAGATAATATCATTATCTGAAGTTATCACACAGTGAACGGATAATATCAGTATCTGAAGTTATCACACACTAAACAGAAAATATCATTATCTTAAGTTATCACAAAGTAAACAGAAAATATCAGTATCTTAAGTTATCACAAAGTAAACAGAAAATATCAGTATCTTAAGTTATCACAAAGTAAACAGAAAATATCATTATCTTAAGTTATCACACGGTAAACAGATAATATCATTATCTTAAGTTATCCCACAGTAAACAGATAATATCATTATCTGAAGTTATCACACGGTAAACGGATAATATCAGTATCTGAAGTTGCCACACAGTAAACAGAAAATATCAGTATCTTAAGTTATCACAAAGTAAACAGAAAATATCAGTATCTTAAGTTATCACATAGTAAACAGATATTATCAGTATCTTAAGTTATCACACAGTAAACATAAAATATCATTATCTGAAGTTATCACAAAGTAAACAGATAATATCATTATCTTAAGTTATCACAAAGTAAACAGAAAATATCAGTATCTTAAGTTATCACAAAGTAAACAGAAAATATCAGTATCTTAAGTTATCACGCAGTAAACAGATAATATCAGTATCTTAAGTTATCCCACAGTAAACAGAAAATATCAGTATCTTAAGTTACCACACAGTAAACAGAAAATATCAGTATCTTAAGTTATCACAAAGTAAACAGAAAATATCAGTATCTTAAGTTATCACAAAGTAAACAGAAAATATCAGTATCTTAACTTATCACACAGTAAACAGAAAATATCAGTACCTTAAGTTATCACACAGTAAACAGAAAATATCATTATCTTAAGCTATCACACAGTAAACAGATAATATCATTATCTGAAGTTATCACACGGTAAACGGATAATATCAGTATCTGAAGTTATCACACAGTAAACAGAAAATATCATTATCTTGAGTTATCACACAGTAAACAGATAATATCAGGATCTTAAGTTATCACACAGTAAACAGAAAATATCATTATCATAAGTTATCACACAGTAAACAGATAATATCATCATCTTAAGTTATCACACAGTAAACAGATAGTATCAGTATCTTAAGTTATCACACAGTAAACAGACAATATCAGTATCTTAAGTTATCACACAGTAAACGGAAAATATCAGTATCTTAAGTTATCACACCGTAAACAGATAATATCATTATCTTAAGTTATCACAAAGTAAAGAGATAATATCATTATCTTAAGTTATCACACAATAAACAGATAATATCAGTATCTTAAGTTATCCCACAGTAAACAGAAAATATCATTATCTTAGTTATCACAAAGTAAAGAGATAATATCATTATCTTAAGTTATCACAAAGTAAACAGAAAATATCAGTATCTTAACTTATCACACAGTAAACAGAAAATATCAGTACCTTAAGTTATCACACAGTAAACAGAAAATATCATTATCTGAAGTTATCACAAAGTAAACAGATAATATCATTATCTTAAGTTATCACACAATAAACAGATAATATCAGTATCTTAAGTTATCACACAGTAAAGAGAAAATATCATTATCTTAAGTTATCACAAAGTAAAGAGATAATATCATTATCTTAAGTTATCACAAAGTAAACAGAAAATATCAGTATCTTAAGTTATCACGCAGTAAACAGATAATATCAGTATCTTAAGTTATCCCACAGTAAACAGAAAATATCATTATCTTAGTTATCACAAAGTAAAGAGATAATATCATTATCTTAAGTTATCACAAAGTAAACAGAAAATATCAGTATCTTAAGTTATCACATAGTAAACAGATAATATCAGTATCTTAAGTTATCCCACAGTAAACAGAAAATATCAGTATCTTAAGTTATCACACAGTAAACAGAAAATATCAGTACCTTAAGTTATCACACAGTAAACAGATAATATCATTTTCTTCAGTTATCACACAGTAAACAGATATTATCAGTATCTTAAGTTATCACACAGTAAACAGATTGCTCAATTGGCATGATTTGATACCTAGATAAAAAGTATTTTTTTTTTTTCTTTCGAATATTATTTCTATCAACTAAACAGCAGCTATTTGTTTTTTTCAAACAAGAAAATATTTCAAACACCAAGCATCTAAATAAACAGACAGTGAGTATACGATCATGTTAGTTTACTGTTCCAAAATCACCACAGTTACAGATGTACTGTTTGTATTTTAATTTATCTACAAACGTTGGATTAGGTTCAGAAATAAAATAAAATAGAAACTTTAATTATTCTGATAATTTACATTGTAGGATTAAATGTAATTTAAGAGATAGAGAAGCAATTATTAACTAATGGTTTACCTTGGAAGATGGACTTGCATTTGTGCCAAGACTGCATGACTCCTGCTCATTGATTACAGCTGAAAGTCTATCAGCATCCATGTCATCCTGTTCCTGGAGAGCTGGACCACGTGTCAGAGTCTGTACAGGAGGAGATGGAGCAGGTGGACCTGTCATGCTTAACATGCTTCTTCTGGCTGTTTTTGAAGGTGGAGCAATGTTTTCGCTGAGTATGTCTGACATTTGACGTTTCTTATCGTCACTTAGTTTAAAAATATAGGATCTGATGGAGTTCTCATTCTTGTGGCCTGATACACTCATGATGTGTCGGGCCTCCACACCGTTGTGGTCAAGTGTTGTAATGCTAGTTGCCCGGACAGAGTGGTTAGTATACCTCTTACTTAGATTGTGGTCCTGGCTGAGTTTCTGCATGAATGAGTAAAGTGTGTTTTTTCCCACAGGAAAATTGTCATACCATACAGTGTCGTATTCATTTACAGTCTTTTTTGGCCTCTGCCAGAAGTTACTGTTTTCATTATGAAGTTTGTCAACATACTTCTTGAAAGCTGCCACTGGACATCTGGGATCACCTATGAAGTATGAATAAAAAATAAAAGGGATTATATGTCAGGTTCAATCATGATTAATAAACATTAGATTGAAAATTATATTATACTTTTAAACAAGAGGCCCATGGGCCTTAATGGTCACCTGATTTCTGATATATTTATACAGAGAGTTGATTTTTGTTTTTAAAACATGAACAGAAATATTATTCAAAGTGACAAAAAACAATAAAACCTTCTTATTCAATATCTAGCATACAGATTTAAGACTGAAAAGTATTTGAAACTAGCACCTCTGACTCTAAACAAATAAAATGAAGAAATTTTAGCACACTGACTCCTTTGGGCCCCGCCCTACAGCCCTTGGGGGTAGGGCTGGCTCAAAATTTTCAAAGTATCAAACTGTCAACTCAGGGTTATAATTACCATTTCCAATCAAGTTATCAACATGTAATATCCAAAGTATCATTTGCCAATATAAACAATAATAAATGTTGCCCCCCCCCCCTTTTCCCAGGGGTAAACGCGAGACCCTAGGGTCATCAAACTCACAATTTTGTTAGAGCACCTTCAAACCTTCCACCTATGAAGAGTATTTGATTCTACCATATCTTGGTCTTGAGAAGAAGATTTTGAAACTTCAGTCAATTTGACCAGTTTTGGACCCACCCATCAGCCCCTGGGGGTCAGTCAGAGCTGACATGTGCATACCATCAAACTGCTATCCAATACTGATAATGCTAACCCAAATTGAATTACTTCCAATGGAAATTAAACAAATGTTGGTCCAAAATGTGATTTCCCTATCTAAACTATAAATAGTAAAGTTTACCCCCTCCCTTTGGAGGGGAAAACGTGAGACCCATGGGTCATGAAATTCACAATTTTAGTAAAGCACCTTAAGACCCTTGAAGCTTCCATCTATGAAGAGTATTTGATTCTGCCATATCTGGGTCTTGAGAAGAAGATTTTTGAAATTTTAGTCAATTTGTCCCTTTTTGGCTCCGCCCATCAGCCCCTGGGGGTCAGTCAGGGCTGATATGTGCATACCATCAAACTGCTATCTAATACTGATAATGCTAACCCAAATTGAATTACTTCCAATGGAAATTAAACAAATGTTGGTCCAAAATGTGATTTCCCTATATAAACTATAGTAAAGTTTATCCCCTCCAAAGGGGAAAACGTGAGACCCCAGGGTCATGAAATTCACAATTTTAGTAAAGCACCTATAGACCCTTCCATCTATGAAGAGTATTTGATTCTAGCATATATCTGGATCTTGAGAAGAAGAAATTTTAGTCAATTTGACCCTTTTTGGCCCCGCCCCTCAGGGCTTGGGACCATATAATTCACATTATTGGTTGACCTTTAGCCATGAAAGGTTTCTGCAAAATTTCATTGAAATTGGTTCAGGGGTTTTGGAACAGAAGTCGAAAATGTAAATTGTTTACAGACGGACGATGCCGGACAAAAGGCGATCGTAATAGGTCACTGGAGACTTTGTCTAAGGTGACCTAAAAATCATTCATAAATGCCATGCAATGCAACAGAAGGAGTTGTCTTTATTCGCGACACATAAAAAAAATGTTTTACTATTGCATCATGGATCAGTCTTTGAGAAGGGCTGGAAACTTGTGCACAAATCTGTATTATCTGTTTTACAATATAAAATGCAGACTTTGTAAAATCATCCATTTACAAGTTACACTAAATACCAGTGAAGTATATACTAGGGCTTCCTATACACCAAGTTTGAACTTTGTTTGAGAAGTTTTCAACTTTATCATTTAGAGAAGTAAAATTCTATTTTTGCAACAGTTACCTTTATCTCTGACTGCCACTCACCCTCAAATAAATTGGCTTATTTGAATTCGCAATCACTAAGGCACCTAACACACCATGATTGAACTTTCTAAGGTAATTCATTTAGGACTAACACAACAAAGCAAAGATCATGCCCAAAATCTATAGGGTTCTTTACATCTACTAGGGGACAACACCAAGTAAAGTTTGAACTTTGTATAATCATTTATTCTCAAGTAATTATACTCCTCTGGACAATCAGATTTCTTTTTTTTAAGCAATGGTGACCTTTACCACTGGCACATCATACCAAAATCAATAAGCTTATTCGATTTTCGCAATCACCTGTACAGTCAACACCAAATTTGAACTATGTATGATCATTTGTTTTCAAGTTTCTATTTCTAGAAAACAGCCACTTTGATCTCTGGGCCACTATGCTCAAAATCAATAGAGATCTTCCACTAGGCAACCCATACACCACGTTTTGAACTTTGTATGATCATTTGTTTTCAAAGTATCATCCAGGCAAGTTTAACCAAGCAGAGTTCTATTTCTAGAATCAGTGACCTTGACCTCTGGGACACCCTGCCAAAAATCAATGGAGCTCTTAGCATCCACTAGAGCGACCCACACACCAAGCTTTAATTTTGTATATTCATTTGTTCTTAAGTAATTACGGTATCTGGATAAGCACTACACACTACATGTCATACAGATAGCTATATATACTCAAACATGTTTTTTTTGGGAGGGGAGAGGAGAAAATAATAATTAAGGTATTTTACCCCACTGATCTTAGGTGCTACAGGCCAATTATGACTCCAAAGAGAGGTCTCGTCTATAGACTTGGCCTGGGGAATCCCACCGCTGCCACCAAATGCAATGTGCAGACGGTCACCCATCCAACTACTGACCATGCTTGATGAGCTGAACTAGTGAGCGGGTCCCCGGGTTATACTGCCTCACTGGAAAAGCTAGCTTGCCAGTAAGTCAGTATTTTCCCTTTATATATCGTAGTTGTTACATATATATATATATATCCCTGGACAAAGTCAAGGGGAAAGTAGAAATTCAAATCCTTTTCCCACCCCTTACTATAGACTCAATCTAATGTGGATTTTAAGTGGAAAACATTATCACTGAATCAGTGGTTGACATCACGTTAAGCCAATGGCTTCTGTATGATGTACATGTATGATCCTTGTCAATAAACTTCTGCTGGACACGACTTCCTTCCGGTTGTGCAAGCAGGTGATTTTCAATAATTGTAACTAACTATTAACAATATATATGTACATTTATACACAGGGGCATGTATTGCTCTACTTGTAATATTAGAAAATAGCAGTCTCCTCTACTAAAAAAAATGTATTTTATTTTATATCTGTGCTTGGAACCAACTCTGACCACGAGCCAATTTCAAATTGCCCACTATAAAGTCTACTAACAGCTAAGGGGAAATGTTTCTTGTTAAAGGTGTTCTGCATAAACGAACGGGCCCCATGCAGGTAGCTCAATTGGTTATATTGTCTGTCTTGAGTAAGGAGGTCCCGGATTAAAATCCTGGTCTAGCTGTTGAAAATTTCGATTCCTGTGACACAGCAATACCTGTAAATCAAAATTCTTGTATCATACCTGGTTTGTCATACATTCGACTTTGTTCGTGGTCAAGATCAAGGATGTCGTCACCTCTGTAATTTTTCTTGGGCTTTGATCTGACGGCAACATACTCTCGGCCTGAAGAATCAACCCCTACTATGAAATCACTCCTTTTCAGCCCACGTAGGTTTTCTCGTCCACGACTGCAAAAATAATAGAGATATTCGAACATAACTTTGCGCTGGAGGCCCTCAGGAGTATTCGTATTAAATGCAGAACCAGTATAAAGTATCGCCATGTCCTCCGGGGTAACAGGTTCTGTCTGTACACACTCGCCAATGCCATCCTCTTTCAGTTTGGCGAGCACTGCTTTAAACATTTCGTTAGACCTGGAAAATGTCTTATCATTGATGATATCTTGTTCTCTCGTTCTAATGAAGTGCTTCTGTAGTCCATAACGCAAGGTAACCATCGACTTTTTGGCATATCTTGTCCCGTCTTCCTTTCTAGTTTCCACATAAAATTTCCGTAGTAGATCATCACATTCTTCACTGGAAGCGCTCTCCATGTCCGGTAAATTTTGCCCCTTTGCCTCCAAATAATGCTGAAGCACAGCTACGGCCGCCTTCACCGTCTTTTTAGTGCTTTCGGAATCTTTCCTATCTAAAAGTTTCTTCAGTTCACTCTCATCGAGCTCTGTAAACCGTTCGAGAGACATCTTTCACTTGTTCCTTATATTTAATATTACTCCAACCGTCTGCACTGTGAACACTCCAATGATCAGGATTACTCAGACGTTTGCACCCGATCAATAATACATACGAGGGGTCAAGGTCGGATGCTCGAAGAGGGGAGAGGGCAATGTCAGGAATTTATTCATGAGCGACATAAGATATAGCATTTTGTACTTATATTTCCATATTTTTTTTAGTATCATGAAAGAAAAAATATATATCCTAGTAAGCTAACACGTTACAGAAATAAAGAACTCGTTAAAAAGTACTTGAATTGGATTGCCCTCCCCACTCATTGAATAACAAGAGGCCCAGAGGGCCTGTATTGCTCACCTGGATTCTATGCCTAGCTATGGTATACATGGGATTTCAATAATTTTTGGGAAATTAAGTCAAGGGCTAGGTGTTGGGCCAGACACAAGAGTCAATACTAACATCATGAATGTATTTGTCTTTTGATGCCCAGCAATGGTATCAACTGTTTCAAAGTTATGAACCAAGAATTATGTCCCTATAGGGGTGGAACCAGACCCCAGAGTCGATTATAATATCATGACTGAGTTTGTCTCTTGATGATCAGCAATGGTATATACGGTTAATGGGGTGGGGATCTCGACTGTTTGAAAGTAATGACTCAGAAATCAAGTCCCTAGGGTTGGGGCCAGACCTCAGGGTCGATTCTTTTGTCATGATTGTGTTTCTCTCTTGATCATCAGCAGCCCTGCAACTGTATACATGGTTATATGGTTGGCATCTTATTAACATTTCCATTTTGTCCGACCCCTCAGACCCAGAGGACAGCCCTTCAACTCAGATACGATTCATCAACCACCAAAGAATGCTTCAAACCAAATATGATTGATATTAATTACTTTGTTCCAGAGAACTAGTAGCTTTAAGCAAATTTTATAGCCAAATAAACCATTAATGGCCCCGCCCCTTAGCCTCCAAGGGGGCAATATCTTAACTTCTATTTACACAAAATTGAGTCCCCATAAAGAAATCCATTTCACATGAGGATGTTTCTAATTTGAATGTAGATTATCCATATATCCCAATTAATTTGGAATTTTTTCTTAAACACAAAAAAGGAACTAAAGACTTTTACCATGTTCTATGCCAAAATAATACAATATCTACCGGTAGAAAGAAGTGGGAGGAAATATTTGAATTTAACACAGAGATATGGAAGAAAATCTATACCATTCCCTTCAAAATTAGTAAAAACACAAAACTACAGTGGCTTCAATTTAGAATCAATCAACAGATTTTAACTACTAATTCATATCTTTATAAAATAGGTCTTGTTAATAGTCCATATTGTTTTCATTGTAAAACTGACACAGAAACTATAGTTCATGCATTATGGGAATGTAAAGAAGTACAAGTGTTTTTAACAGATTTTGAATCATTGCTAGATGTGTTATTAATTCCATTTGCTTTTAATAAAGAATCTTTTATCTTTGGTTTCTATGATAGAAAAAACAATGTTGATAATTTAGTACTTCTTATCATTAAACTATATATTTATAAAGCTAGATGTCTGCAAACTGGTCTATCAGTTTTAGCTTTGAAAAACTTAATTAAAGATATTTACAATACTCAAAAATACATTGCTGTAGGTAATGGTGAAAATTATCTCACTAATTTTAAAAGGGAATGGAAAAAATGGGAAAGATTACTGCAGGCCATATAAATGAAATGTAAATTAATTATAATAATATAGTACCAATGTAATTCCTGTTAAAGGTAGCCTATGTACAAAAATTTACACAATATTGAACAATAAGCCCTTGTCAAATCCTTCGACGCCCCTCCAACCTTCCTTTTCTTTCTTGTCCCTCTCTCTCTTTTCATTACTCTTTTCTTTCCTATATCTTCTTCTAAAACAATACAATGGTACATAACACCTAATATCCTGGTTTCAACATGTGAAAATAGCCAAACTGTCTGGGTTTTTTTTTTTGTATTTGTTTGTTTCTCAACTACAATGTATACAATATTATTCTATGTATCTTGTTTCAAACTTACAAAGAAAATAATTGTTTTTCTAAATATAAGAATGTTAAAAAAATGTCAAGACAAACAAAAAACTTGTGTGAAAATTAAGAATGTGAGACTGAAATATGATGTGTTATGTTTAATGTACTGTTGAAAAAAAAAAAAAAAAAAAAATTGAGTCCCCTTTGCCTAAGAATGGCTCTACAACAAATTTGGTTCAAATCCCTCCATTCATAAAGAAGGAATAAAGTTTTAAACATTTCCCCCTATGTTCTCCCCTCTGACCCCAGGAGAGCCACAACCTCCGTTTATACATCAGTGAATTCTCCTTACTAAAGGATTTTCTAGACAAAATCTGGTTCAAATCCCTCCTTTCGTACATAAGGAGGAACATTTTCCCCGATGTTCTCACTAATTCCCCCACCCTTCGGCCCCTATAAAAGCTACACCCTCCTTTTATATAAAATTGAATTCTCCTTGCCCATGGATGTTTTAGACAAGTTTGGTTAAAACCCGACTATTAACACAGAAATAGAAGGATTTTTAAGATTTACCTAAGTTTCTGCTATTGGGCCCCGTCCCTCTGCCACCAGGCGGGGACAATACCTTCGATTTATACAAAATCGAGTCTCTTTTGCCCAAGGATGCTTTACACCAAATTTGGTTAAAATCCCTCAATTTATTCAGAAGGAGGAGGATATTAAATATTTTCCGCTATGTTCTCCCTAATGGGCCCCGACCCTCTACCCCCAGGGGGCCAAACCCTATGTTTATACATATTGAATTCTCCTTAACCAAGGATGTTCTAAAAAAAAATGGCTCACGTCCCTCTGCCCCATGGGGAGCAACACCCTCTGTTTATACAAAATTTAATTCCCATGCCCAAGGATATTCTACACAAAATTTTGGCAAAATCCTTGTTTTTGTACAGAAGAAAAAGAAGTTTACAGGATTTATCTAAAGCTCCCCTATTAGGGCCCCGTCCCTCAGCCCCAATGGGGGCCACATCCTCCATTTATACAAAATTGAGTCCCCTTTACCGAAAAAGTACAGGGCAGGAAAAATAGCAGCAGCTATCCATGGAAACAGACGAAATGCCAGTCTGTGATGACTGTGTTTCAAGACGTGAACAATGTATGGAGGCACGTGAAAAAACGGTGTCTAAAAACTGACTTTTGTAAATGAAAACATGATTTGGGGAGTAATAGAGATGAACATATGGCGAAGAAGTGGATCACATTCACAGTCCTAGACAAAGTGAGGGGCACGTACTCGTGGCCAAAGACGTGGAATAGTTAGATCGTTGAAAGACAAGGGACATCTGTAGCAACGGCTCACCGTGAGATTCTTAGCAAAAGGAGACAACCCATCTGAATTCGTACCAATAAAAGACAAACAATTCATATCCAAGGAAGTCAGCGCACTCTTAAAGGAATACTTAGTGTTATAACAAAGCCAATTCATGCTGCTGTTTGTCAAGCGCATCATCAAGTCTAGAATGTATAGATATCTCGCTTACAGAAGCTATGAATACGTAAAAGTATTAAGACATTTGCCGACAGCTACAATAAGATGTATCACAGGACCATTGGGATATCTATTGGTATATCACCAATAATGGTCAACAGAAATAACGAGACATATAAATCTGGTGGCGGATGCTCTTGCCAAAGAAAGAGACAATCTTACGGAAAAAACCAAGAAAAACTGTAGCATGCATGTCACATCTCGGGAACCCATTCATCCTGAATTTTCCACTTTTCAGAAATAAACCTCTGAGGTTAATAAGAGAAAAATAGTCACTAGCAATATGAAGTAAATGAAACACCTATCTGATAGTAAATAATGTTGCTACAAGAAGCTTAAATGGGATCGATTTTCCGACAGCGAGAGGGTTCAACCAATCTAGTTTTTACTATCATTGAATGTTGATATAATGTATTATATGTATTATATACTTTCTCCACATTAGGATAGGTCATAACATAGCTGCTGTGAAAACAAGAGGCCTAGAGGGCCTGTATCGCTCACCTGGAGATCTTAGCAATCATGGCAAAATATTCTTCAAAGAAGATCCCAGGGACAGGGCCAGACCCCGAAGCCAATTATAGAGCATATCTGTATTAGATTTTCCTTGCCCAGCAATTGTGTGTAATGTGGTTATGGGGTGGGGATCTCAACTGTTTCCAAGTTGTTACTCAGAAACTAGGTCCCAAGGGTTGTGGCCAGACCACAGGGTAAATTCTAATATTATGACTGCATTCATCTCTTTATGTCCAGCATTTGTCTCTTCAGTTTTGGGGTGGGGATCTCAACCAACCATTTGAACAATTTAGAATCCCCACTACCTAGGGATGCTTCCAGTCAAATATGGTTGATGTCCACATCTTAGTTGCAGAGAGGTCACTTAAAGCTATATTTGTACAATTTTGAATCCCCTCCTCCCATGAATGCTTCAGACCAAATGTGATTGATATCCATTGCACAGTTCTACAGAAGAATTTGTTTATAGCAATATAGCCAAATTGTCTCCTTTTGGCCTTGCCCCCTGGGGGGTCAGCCTTACCATTTGTACAATTTTGAATCTCCACCACCTAGGGATGCTTCCAGTCAAATTTAGTTCAATTCCAATCAGTGGTTAAGAAGAAGAAGTTGTTTAAAGAAATTGTTGACGTACGTACGGACGATGGACGACGGACACCACGTTATAGCATTAGCTCACCTTGGTCCTTTGGACCAGGTGAGCTAATAATCCATATTACAAAGCAAAACTGATAAGTAACATTTAAATCACTGGAATGAAGAAACAATTTATTTGACATAAACATTATTAGAATATATAATAGGATTTATAACATGTACACAAAAGCCACCAGTTAACGATTAAGAATACATGACTGTCTCTATGAGCTGCACACCTACTGTCTTAGAGGCATCTTAGGGTCATGATACACATGTCAAATATAAAGAAATTGATACAATATAAAAGTTAATCCGTTTGATATCTTAGATTATTTGTTCATGCAGCATACTGGCGTTTTCAAAAACTGTTT